GCCCAGACTTACATCAGATTGTATTGCTTAAAAAATTAACTACTTGTGGTGGGGATGGAAACAGGTCGGGGTATGCAAAACCGCGTTTCCACCTCTAGAAAGCACCGCGAGAAACGGCTCCAAGTGCGCACGCCGTCTCTCGCACCGGCGTTTAAAACGGCCACGAGAGATTTTCCGAGCTCTCGCTGTAAAGTCGCGCTCTCGTTAGCGCCGAGCTGTGACAACTGGATGGCAGTAAGGCCATGGGAATGCCTAGACCCCGGCCAGCCCTCGGTAGCTGCCCGGGGGCACTTTTGTTTTGACAAAAGGAATTTTGATTTGCTTTTTTTTTTTTCGCATTCAAGCCTCACATAGAAAATCAGGGTCAGGCAGGAAACTGTGACTTCACTAAAGATTCAAATATATGGTTTAAAAAAAGAATTTAAATATATTTTTAAAAGGCGCATTATGTTTTAAAATACATGATTTCTATTTCATTTGAAAGATATATTGAATAAATACGGAACAAATTACACATTTCTTGCAATCTCTTGTTTCCCAGTGAGCCAATATCTAGTAGCAGTAGACCCTTGGTCCCTTTAATATCTCAGCACCTGTGTTCCAATAAGCTGCTCATGTCTTTACTGTTTAATTCGCTTCAGCAAACTGTAGTCGGCCCTAGAGTGTCTGAACATTTGTTCAGAGTTAGAGGGAAGAGTGTGAAATTTTATTTATAAAGTGCTAAATCACAACAACAGTAGACTCATATAAAGGTAAAGGGTTTTTATCTTTATATGAGGTAGAGGCCCTACAATAATACAGAAAAAACCTCAACAATCACACTACCCCCATGAGTAAGCACTTGGTGAGAGTGGGAAGGAAAAACTCTCTTTAACAGGAAGAAACCTCTAGCATAACCAGGCTCAGGGAGGGGCAGCCATCTGCTGCGACCACTTGGGGGTGAGAGGAGGAAGACAGGACCAAAGACACACTGTGGAAGGGTTTTATATGTAGTAACATTTACTTTTTGTATTTTCAGCCTTTATTTTGAAAGGATAGTGCAGAGATAAGGCAGGGCAAGAGTGGAGGAAATGGCCAGTGGGCAGACTCAGACTGTGCAGCTGCAGCAGCCTTTGGCATACGGGTCACCTGCTCAACCAGCCCACAGTTAAAGGGCCACCCGCCCAGTATTACCTGAAGTTTGAGCTAGCTGAGGAGGCCTTGGGGGGGTCAGGCCACACCAAAGTCAAAAGGTCTTTTACACTCCATTCAGTTTGCATGCTGAGCACATGCAAATAAAGAAATGCAAGCATTGTGAATCCAGGCTCACTGTTACCTCAGTGAACCACCTTTCTAGTCTTACTGACCACACATTGTGGTTTACACCATAAGCCACATGTACACACATCGACACACACACAGATATTCAAATAGCACCTTGCTATCTCTTAAAAAAAGGAAGAAACGTATGTTTTTAAAAGTTTTAAATCCACTTCAGCTAAAATTAAAGAAAGTTATGTCTATAAAATTATATACAGTATGTAAAGTAGTTGATGCACACAGGTATTACTACTCTATTTTTACACGCAGAGCTGTGTCATCCACTGTTGAACAACCTAAGGAAGTTTTATATGAAGATAACTGAAATGTTGCAGTGCAAGCACGCCTACATCTCCCTGAACCTCACCATGATACAACCTTCTCTAGCCCTCCTGTTGTCCCAACAGATCTGTAAGTGAACGCAGGAGGGGAAAAATGTGGAATGTACCATGTGGAGTGTCAGAAGCTGAAAGACATCCCGACCACACGGCCGACAACTCAGGCAGTGTAGCCGTTGTGACATCTCGTAAAGCCTCCGCGTCTCCAAGTTCAGCGCTCCGTCTCTATGCTATCCGTCACTCTGTCAGCTGTGGCTCCCACACCAATAACTGGGTATCGTGTAAACAAGCATTTCAGTTACGCCTCGCCTGCTCAGCACGCTCCTCCTCCTCCTCCTCCTCCTCTCTCTGCTGCTGCTGCAACAGGTGCTCGAGCTGCTTCGGCTCAGCTCGCCCCGCGCCCACAAATGAGAGGAGAGGAATTTAATTAGTGTCTGATCCAAAGGCCACATCTGCCAAGAGAGAGACGGCGCGACGCAAGACAACATGGGCAGAGGAGACATGTCTGTGTGTGTCAGTGCAGGGAAAGTGTATCACAGTGTGTGTGACTGGAGTCCCCCCATCCACCCACCCACTAAGCCTCTGGCCACTGAGGTGTCTGCGGTTGCCAGATTGAGAGGCTGGTGATGTGGAAGCTTTGTGTGTGTGTAGCTTACATACCCTAACCCACACTACCTATGTGTGTGAGTGTGTGAGTGAGGTATCTGTACTCATAAGCGTGCATGTTTCTCACTATGCTATTGCAAAAGAAAAAAAAAGGGTGAAACCAGCCAGGGCTCTCATGTGCCGTAGGCCCTGACATACTGCGCTACTCTGCTGTGACTACCCGCCTTCCCCCTCCCCGCCCACCCGCCCGCCACTACCAACACTCCCCGTGTCCGTTTGGCAGGGAGACATGTCGAGGATGAGAGAGAAAAGCCTCCCCTGGGTGCTGCGCTCCAGCTAACCCAGATTTTATGCAGTGTGACACACAGAGGAAGACACCGGCTCCTGAGCTCCATTCAGAGCTGAGCTGTCTGAACTGAGGCGACCCGGGGAGCAGATAATGCTTAAATAAGAGGCGTGCAGCGGGGGCCAATCCAGCAGTGTGGGACTGAATTAGCAGCAGAAGAAGTGCTGATCAGTTGAGTTTTGGCTCAGCGTATTCCCTGACCAGTGAAACACTTGTAATAAAGTGTTAAAAAGTAAAGGTGGGACACAGTGCTTTTTGGGGTTTAATTGTGCCAGTTAATGGGCTCCAGTTGTGGCCGTGTACATTGAGAGATGATGATTTCTGGGAAAGTTTTATCAGACACATAAGAAGGAGAGGGTGATGAAAAACTCCTGAGCTATCCAACTATATCAAGACTGTAAAGGACATAATCAGCAAAGTTTGAGTCTCTTAACATCCACCAGATAAAGTGTGACACATCGAGGTTTAGGGTTAAGGCTTCTTTGGACAGTAAAAGAAAGTAAATCCTCACAGGTTTACTTTTAACTCATGAGGCATAGGTCATCATCTGTGATTATCATTCTAACCTAAACTATTAAAATGTGCCATTTTAAGTGTCCCAAGAAGCTGGGACGGGCTCCAACTACAACGCTGAATCTGATAAGCAGAAGGAGCTAAATGGATGGGTGTGTGGATAGGATGTGGTTCTCTCCAAAACACAGCACTAGGGTTAGGGATGCCATTGATAATGACTTTAACCTCACATATTAAAAGCTTTTTAATGTGGGTGTTCCTACACTTCTCTGCAGATAGGTCAAAAACACAAAATAGCCTTCTTTTGCATGCTATGCGTGGAGTTTTGAAGGATAAAGAGGATACAAACCTTTAGTTACGAGTATGATGCCAGTCATCCCTCTTCTAAGGATTCAAGATACCATCAGCACAGTCAGCAGCAAGGCCAGCACTCACTGCCACTACAAAACCACCCAAGAAGATCTGTGGATTATGGCTTTAGTCCAGATATAAAAAAAAAAAAAACTATGCACACCACCTAGATGAGGCTCTATTTTCACTCTCATTCATTTCATTCACATAGAGATGCGTCGATATACAGTGAATATATGATGGAATACTGCTGCACAAGAGTATATCTTCTACAAAATCATGCTTTTTTTTAACATCAGTAGTTACATCTGTTCTGGGTTGTTTGCTGAACAGTGTTTGTCTGATCTTATCATATCGTGTCTTAACTTGATCTTTCCTTTCTCGCGAATGACTCACATAAATCTTGACTCTAAATTCTTTTTAAAGTCTTTTAAAATATTTCACAGCGATAATAATAAATAAATAAATAATAAAAAAAAAAAAAACGCAGGAAAACGTAGGAACTAAATAGAAAAGAAACTATTAGCCCCTCCTCCAAACTCTACTTTGAGAGAAAAGTGCAAACCAGATATTTATATTCACATGCCAACATTCCAGTTTGACATCATCTGTCTTATCCAGTGTGTAACATTTAATCTATGTGGTCATTTAGATTTAGATTTTTGGCACTTGAGAAAACTAGGTTTACTATCATAGTGTTTCTTCTTCTCTCACGCAGCTTCTCTGTCCTCTTTTTCCTGTAAGTAATTGGGTTTCATGGTTCTGTTAGGAGATGTTTGGCATGGAGGATCTTTTGCTTATTGGTTCCTCTACAGTGTGTGTAACGGTTCATTTCATTTGTAGTTATGCTGACAGCCTCTCTCTTTACTTTTATTTTGAGTCAAATTAACTTGACTGCTTTTATTTGTTCTGCAGATATTGCGACTTTATTGTTATTGTGTTGCCATAATAGTGCAGTGAAAATGATATTTTTGCAACAATCATAACCACTGTAATGACTTTAGCAGTTTCCCCCCAGGTTTTTAAATGTGGTACTTCAGAAAGGATTTTTAAGTAACAATTGGTAAGTTATACAAGTCATCTTTTCAGTGAAGCTCATGGGTTAAGCAACGCGTACAAATCAGATAGAAATCTCAGTGATTTTATCAGTGTTTTTATAGCGATGTGTCAGGAAATGAAGGGAAAATGATCCTGTAGCGGCCACTTGTGGCGACGGTGGGGACATACAGGCGAGCTTTAAAATGCCACACTCCAAATTCTCCAAACTTACCCGACAATAAAACTCTGAACACGTAATAGTTTTCGTTTTTGAAAAGTATGGGTATATGAGTTTTTAAAAGGCTTTAGCAAACAGTGCTAAAACGAGGCTAATGAAGTCTTTGATCAGTGCCAGCTGGTAGTTCCTCTTAAAATTAATAAATTTACAGACTTAAATGTTAACTTTTTATTATTATTAATATTTATCATTTAAATAATGTAAACTTAAAAAAAAAAAAAATCTACCAGCATCCTAACGGACCTCCCTTTTAAGAAGAAAATAAAACTGGATCGTTTCCGGTTTCGTTGGTCCGTCGATGAAATTGCTCCGTAAGCAAATGCCGGAGGAGAAGAAGAGGGGCAGGTTATGGCCACAATGATTGAGGAAAACGGCCCTTCGACTCACGTATGTGTTTCTCGTTTTAATTTTTCAGTTTGTCTCTGGGTTGTTGGTGCCGTTTAACGTGTCAAAACTGAGATTAAAAAATAGTTAAACTGAAAAGTATTTCAACATTGTCATTGCTTCAGTTGTAGCCAATTCGTTAGTCGGTGGCTAACAAATTAGCTTGTACATCTGACCTGGTAACCTGCGTTTATTTAACTGTTTATATAACGACAGACTAGAGATTCACTATGTGTTGAGTTTTCCTCACCGAAATGCAAAGTTTGATCATTCTGTCTCAAATCATTATTTTTTCCTCGACCGTCTCAGATTTACCTAAACATTTATAGTCCAGAGTTTGGATATATATATATATAGTGATTGTTTTAAAATGTTAGCTTCATATATCATTTTTTTTTCAATATATATGTTTTAAGTCCCATCCACCTACTTTCAGGCCTTTTTATAGCTCAAAACTATTAAAGGTAAAAGCCTTACATTTCCACAGGCCTTTATTTCTTGAACAGGAACTGTAATTTGGAACAGTAAAAAAAAAAATCACATTGCAAAAATGCAGTAGTGACAGTTTCTAAATGGTATATTGATTCATTTCACAGTACTGTAACATTAAACAAGCAGAAGCAAGTAGAAAGCTTTTAAACATGAAATTCTTGGTCACAGAAATTAAGAAAATGTCATTTTCATTCAACTTTTATTCTGTGTTTAGCAAGAATAAAACTCATTTTTGCATGCAGATGAAAAGAAAAGGGACATACATTTGATGTAGCCTCCTACAAGTACTGTGCAGCTCAGATAAATTGACTAAAAATTCCCACTTTGGAGCAGAAAGTGGTCTTTCGACATACCACTATCCTGCCTCCGTGTTTAGTTTCATCTCATTGTAGTCCTGTTTGTTTAGAAACAAGCCCCCAAGGCACTTTGTTCTTATTTTGGCTTCCTGTACCACTTGGGCTCAGAAATAACAGTAAAGTTGACCCAGCTTGGACACAGTATAAATAATGTTTATCCTTTAAGAAGAAAAAATGATCACAAAAGGAAAAAAGAAAACAAAAAGAAAACAAGCACACGGCACACCGCTAAAACTTTTTGACTCACAAAATGTATGACAGTGCAAACGTACGTACAAAGTTCTACCAGGAAAAAAAGATGTCAGTACGTATTAAGAGATATGAGATTTAACAGGAGTGCATGGAATTTATTTTCTCACATTTTATCTAGCTAATACTTTTTTTGGTTTATGTGTCCCAAAAAAGATCCTGATTCCCTTTTATGGTACGAAAGACCAGTGCAAATTTCACACATTTTTCTTTAATAGTTTTTGAGATATTCGCATTCAAACACTGTCGGATTTTAAAATTTGGGGTCAAAAAACATTATGAAAGTGGGTCAATGGACAATTTTGGAGAAAAATGTATAATAAGAAGTGTTTGATATATGAAGCTAAAATTTCACAGCGGTTGTTACATGTGTCTAAACAGGGCTTCTTTCAAATAATATAATAATGGATTAATGATGTGCCAATTAGTTTGTTAAATAATAATTTAGCCCTCAGCTTAGGTTTTATTTTGCTCACTTTCCCTTATTGTCCTCACCCAGGAGCAGTCTGAAGTGTCCTCATCATCTCAGGCACGGCAGAAGCTGGAGGGGCTCCTGAACAAGAACATGAGGATCCGCATGACAGACGGACGGACTCTGGTGGGCCTTTTCCTCTGCACTGATCGGGACTGCAATGTCATCCTCGGCTCAGCTCAGGAATTCCTTAAATCCACAGGTACGCAGAGGCGACCTGAGCGCAGCGTCCACTGATGCCTTTGACTCTGTATAAAAAGGCTGCTCTGTTCTTTTTCACACCTCGCACTTTTTATGGTGTTGTATTATCAAAGCATTTTTTAAGTGTCTTTCCAGGAAATATTTAAACACACAGGTGTGCTGTCAAACTGTGACTTTACTCAATGCCAAACCATCTTAAAGGTTATGAATAAAGCTAAAAATAATACTGATCAGAACCAGCAGCTGTGGGAAACTCATACACGATGCTTTTGTCATTCACTTGGCAAAAAAACACACAGGGAAATGGGTAAAAGTTGTGTTGTTTGTACTGTTTTGTGGTTTATTTGCTGTGACCTGTTGTTTTGAAACTCATGGAAATGGAGCAACTTTTATCATCTTTTGATGTTACAGTTAAAAATCATTTCATATTTACATATATTAATCTGTAGTTTAGTTCCTAGATTATTGGTTTTGCTAAGAAACAAACTGTAGTGGAAGAGAAGATGATGTTAGGTGCTGAAAACATTCCACCAAATCCCAGGGCTGCTCTGTTGGAGGAGATGTGGTTACTGTGGAGGCCATTCGAGTACAATGAGTTCATTCTCATGTTCAAGAAACCAGTTTGAGATGATCTGAGCTTTATGACATGATGGTTGGACTGGGGTTATAAAGGGGTGGGCATAGTCAAATACCCCAGTTAGGCTGCAGGTATTTAGACTATGCTATGTTGGTAGCCAGTGATACATGGCAGGGTAGCTCTTTAAACCAAAGTCTGTCCCAACCGTCTGAATGTCACAGTATAAATTGAGACTCATCAGACCAGACAACATCTTGCTTTAACGTTTCTTTTGTTGTTATTGGGCAAAGCCTTGCTGTTCTTTCTGTATGTGCTGTTCATTCAAAGATGCTCTTCTGTGTACGTTGCTTGTAATGAGTTATTGTTGCCTTCCTATCAGCTTGGATATTTTCACTTTGTCAGAAATTTCTCTATGAACCGCACTGATGGTCGTGTGGGAAAATTTCAGAAATATTCAGACTAGTAGAGCCCCTTAAATCACCTTTCTTCCTCATTCTGTTTACATAACTACATGTCTAAATGCACTGATTTGCTGCCATGTGATTGGCCGACTTGGTATTTACATTAACGTGCAGGTGTGCTTAATAAGGTATCACACAGTAAGTCTGACCTGTTGTCTCGTTTTCTTTTCAGACACATTCTCCCAGAGCGAACCCAGAGTCCTGGGCCTGGCCATGATTCCCGGCCACCACGTGGTGTCCATCGAGGTGGAGGCAGACAGCCTGGACGACACACAGGGATTCGGAGCTAACCACTGACGGAGCTCCGTCTGTTTGGACAGCATTCATGTGACTGAGTCCTGCCGAGCCAGACTCAAGACGTGGTCGATCCCAGGAGAAGGGACGACGTCAGTCTCTCAGACTCTTTGGACGCAGACCTTCTGTGTCGATGTCGTGGATTCAGTCAGTCCCTCGGCGACTGATGAAAGAGTGTGTTTGCGTCAACTGCTGCACAATGCAGCGAGTGTAGAAATGGTGTGGGCGTGCATGAGGTGTGAGTAAACGAGAGCTTACTTGTATGTCTCAGTGTCTGCAGTGCCCGTCTTTATTACAGTGTGTTTTAAAATAAATCACCCTATTTGAGACTTTGTTGCCGTCCTCGCCTCGCTTTAAAACACAGCAAAACAAAATGAGCAAAAATGCGTTTGTTTCAATATTTTAATACACTTGAGCTTGTCAGCTGACTCAGTTTGGCAACAGGAAAAAAAAGCCTCCAACAAAAGAAACCCAGAAACAAAACCATCCCACTCAGAGTTAAATACAAAGAGAGCCTGTCACATTTTGTTCACACAATCAAGCAGTAGAAGCTGGTTACAGTCAGTGTGTCCTCAAGTTATTAAAGACAAAATAACTTAATTTGTGCTAAAAAATAAAGTCTTTAAAAACATCATCTCGGTTCACCTGTGTGGCCCGTGTGGCTGCAAGAACCTCATTTATAAACTGTATGAAGTTCGTATGTGTCAGTGCGACCCATTGGATAAATATTATCCAAACATGCTGCTTTTGAAGTAGATATGGTGTACCTCGGGAAAAATAAAGCAGCAGCTCAGACACGCTTCAGTAAGACCTATTTATAAATGAGGTTCTCGGATAGCCACTGAAGACACAGGGGAGTGTGTGGAAGGCTTTTCAAAGGCCTACAGTAACATTTCAGGAGTGCAGGAGGAGGGAAGTGGCCTTTTCGAACAAAGTAAAAGTGCAAGCTTTCGAAACGTTTCCTTGAAAGGAGGAGGGAAGAAACAGAAATACTCTAAATGTCAATGCAGTCATTTGCGGCTGTTTTTCTAAACTTTTTTTTTCCACTTATTTTGTGCACTTACATCCATAATGTCTGCCCCTGGATATAAATGAACATCTCCAAACCAAAATTCACACAGAATTATTCCAATTAGCTATCAGGAGGCGCTGATTTAAATTTAAAAATATACATGTATACATCACAGAGCACCTACACTGACTTCAGATCCATAGGATATTGAAATTCTTACACCTACAGGTTTCCTGTAGCGGTGCTCGAGTTTCACCATAAATATAGCTCAACAGCCACAGGTCTAATGATAAATATAAAAATCCTGCTTCTCTAGTGTAGAGACGTCTCGACATGGTAAAAAATAGAGACTGAAATCAGTAGACCTTTAAAGAATACTGCAAGCAAACGGACAGACGTACAGATTTTCAAGCAAAGAATCACGGCACTAAAAATAAAAAGGAGGCGCCGAGTAGCGCTTCAAAGAATGGCACAAAGAAAGAATAAGAGCGGACACTGCTTCCAGCTGTCACACATTTCCTACGGAGCTCGTCTGTAGACTTCATTTTCTTCAAGCACAACGTAATCTATGAGTAACCACAGGTAGGTCCTTTGATTTTGTGGTAAAAAGTCCAAAATAACAAAAGAAAGTTTGCGAAAACCTGCGTCCAGGCTGACGCAGAGCTTTTGAGGAAGACTCGTCCTCCAAAATCCCCCGAAGGTTTTTTCCAAAGTATCCAATCCACCTAAAAACGACACTACCCCCCTCCCCGCCCGTGTGTTCGTCAAGTCCTGCTCTCTAGTTGTACTGGAACTTGAAGTGGAAGCTGCCGCCAGATTCAAAGGGGTTGAAGTGAAAAGGCCAGCCCTGCTGACCTCCGCCTCCACCTTGCTGGCTTTCTGGGTCCAGCGGATCCTCGCCCGCATCAAACTTCTGTCTCATTTCTAGAAAAAAAAAAAGTAATAGAGAACAGGATCGTTAACATTTTAGTAAACGATCAACTAGTTTGGACTTGGTTTGACAAACATGCATTTTCTTCTGCTTTTACAATTCAATTTTTTACAGGACCTGTGATGACGGTGAACTTGAACTTAGGTGCTAAGCTGCTAACCACTGGACCACTGTGCTGCCCCCTACTGTCACAATACCAAAATGACATCAGTCTATTCATCAGACAAAACCTGACAGTCAGTAAATGTTTGTTCTTTGACTGCAGAGCTGCAGTTTTAACGTCTGCTGAGCAACATTTTTTGGTCTGTTTTGTGAAAAGAAGAACGAAGCCGCTTGTTTCTTTCACATGAATGTTCTCATAGCTCAGCTTAACTTCACCGCACTTCATTTCTGAGAAAGCCAAACTTTCTAAATTAGCCCAACTAATTTTAATGCTTGTGTTCTGGACTGTAATACATGCTACTCACCATGCATTGCTATTGGAGTTTTCGGAGACTTTCAAGTCTATTATAAGTGGAAGAAAATGAATAGATGGATGTTTATGGAGACTGTTGGAATTTGTGACTTTCCCTCTGGGATGAGTAAAGTATGTCTAAAATCCTGGAAATTCTTTCAAATCAGATATTGGTGGTGTGGAAATGTGGCTGTAAATAGTTGTTTTCAGAGAGATCGGGGAAAAGACTAAATATCAAGGCTGGCTGCTGACCTGGATCAGTAAGGACCTCTTTGGCCGATGCGATGTCAATAAACTTCTTTTCTGCTTCTTTCTTCTCGGCCTCAGACTGGAAGTTGTCGGGGTGCCACTGCTGTGCCAGCTTCCTGTACGCCTTGGTGATCTCCTGCTTGTTGGCATTCCTGAGGAAGTTTCTGAGCGTTAGCGGGCCCTCTTATAAAAGTGACGGGCGTTGACTTTGGGATCAGAAAAATAAAGTAAACGTGTAGTGTTTATGTTGAAGCTGGCTGGACTGGTTACCTGCTGACACCGAGGATTTTATAGTAGTCCCTCTTACGAGACTGCTTGAGCAGCCTCTGGGCTCGGTCCAGCCCCTCTTTGATATCGTTGCTGTCGCCGTCGAACTCTCTCGCCTCCTGGTAGTCCTCCACAGCTGCATGACACACAAGGGATTTACAGATTACTCCTAAACACCACATATCTGAGGCTAATTATGTAATGTTGTTTTACTTTAATCATCAATTATCAATAAAAATCTTCTGATACTGCGTGTGCAGTTCTGAGATGGAAGCTGTGTCTATGGTTACGATAGGCTCATGACATCATGACAGGACATAAGCATGGGATGAGTTGAGTTGCATTCATTGAGAAGACTGTGTCACCTTTCTCGTAGTCCTGGTTGAGGATATAGGCCTCTGCTCTGTCTCTGAGGACGTTGGCGTTGCGGGGGTCTCTCTGGTGGGCCTCCGAACACACGTCTATCGCCTCGGGCGCTGATTTAATCTGGAAATGATAT